ATTGTTCACGTGAAAATCACCGTGATTAATGACATTAAAGTCATCTTCAGAGAGCTTAGTTGCATTTATTCCAATTTGATATATGTGATCGGTGAGTTTATTAATTTTTTCCGAGTATCTATTATATAATAATGAAAATCATAATATAAGTATAAAGAAATGTGTATTTATAAGGCCTGATTTTGACCCCCCTCAAATTTTTGCCTCGTCAAAATATATATCTCTCAAAATAGTTTACACTCATCTCAAGTTTTGAGCTAATACGGACATGATTGCACGGTGCCTGTGCCATATACTGCAGAAATTCATATTTTCAATATAGCAGGTATTATTGAAGTACCATAAAAGAACTAATTTTTGTTATGTTGCAGAATAATCGGAACCACTTCAAAAAGGTATAATTCTCTCTATTATTTAATGTCGACGGTCTCATATGTTGAAATTTAGAACATACATATGTGCCAATAAGGTTCCAAAAAATGATCAATATTGTCCTTTATGTATAAACATTGAGCAAATGTATTCTGCTATTTTGTGCATGTGCGTGCGTGCGTGTGACTTCTGCCTGCAAAAACAATATTACAGTAGACAATTCTCAATATTTGTAGGATACGATTTTGTAACATCCATACACTTTTATGCAAGCTTTTTCTGCAAAATGGTAAGATTGTTAGTATCAAATGCAGAGAGCTAGAATATGCCTTTTTGAAGTAATTCCGATTATTCTGCAACATAACTTAAAATCAGTTTTTTCATGGTGCTTTGATAATACCTGCCACATTAAAAATAAGAATTCTTACAATATTGGCACATAGTAAAAAAGAACTACTAGTGCAGTAAAAACAGTACTGAAATGTTGTAGTGTCACTGCTATACCAGCAATGCCACTACTACATTTCACTTTTCAGTAGTTTTTTCACTGTACTAGTAGTTCATTTTTACGCGGTACAGTACAATCTTATATGTCCGTTTTAGCTTAAAACACTTGAGATGAATGTAAACTACATATTTTGAGAGATACATTTTGACGCATCCAAATTTGAGGGGGCCAAAATCAGGCTTTATCAATACTCATTCTTTTTTCAGCATCGATTGATTAGAAAGATCAATATGATATTTCTATTCCAGCCTCAGCTAATAATTGCGTTTCAAGTCCAAACATTTAATCGGCGCACAGTTTAACGGCTGTACATGAATTTCAGAAAAATTCATACAGAATTTATTAGGCATCTAAGATCCAGCCGTGACCGTAAAGACGCTCTCGAAGTTAGTTGCGTTATTCACTAATCACTTAAGTGGTCTTATTAAAAAAAAATTATTTCATTCTCTTTTTTGTATAAAATTATGAAAAAATCATAAAATATTTGCTTTAAATAGCGCAATTTGTATTTATATTTGCTATGTTTTTCTTAACATGTTCAGTTTTTTCATATTAAACATTTTTCTTATATCATATAAAATGTCTCGGATAGAGTAAAACAATAAATACTGCATGTATAGATATAATACTTTACTTTATGTATGTAGATATAGGTACTTTACTTTTTCACTTCTGGCCAGTTTGCAATCTCCTTTGCAAAAGCTTTAAAACTCATAATAAAAAAATCTTTTACTTCTTGCGGGTGCTGATTGTCGAATGCCCCGATCGAATACAACTCCTTTTGCTTTGGTTCCTAGATATTAAAATATTTCTATTAAAGAACATTGATATTTATCTATTCAATTAAATTGTAAAGATAAATAAGTTTGATAATTATTTATGTTAATAAAGCTAACGGATTTTTTTAGTTTCTAATATATGAACATTAATGTCCTCTAAGCAGATTTTAAATAAAGTTATCTATTTACCCACAAAAAATTCCAAACTTTAGATTAACTTTAGATCGTTTTAAAATCTTAAGAGTGGCGTAACCCCTTAAGGGCTTATTAACGAAAAAAATTTGAAACTTACATAGTCATTGTTGTATCATTAATCTGAATTTTTAATAATTGAAATGAGATATTATACGATTGAGTCACACGTGGTGATTTACCTTTTCGCATATGGCTACAGAGGTTGCATGAAACCTGGCTAGTGCGCGAAGTGCCAATATGGAATGAACTAGGTCAAATCCAGACATACGATCGGCTAAGCGATAGCCGAGGAGCGTGAGATCTTCCAGCATCAGAAGCATCGGATTTTCATTTTGCACGTATAGACACTTTCCGCTTATGCGATCCTTCGGCCCTAATAACTTATTCATTTTATCCAATGTGTCTGACATCATCGATATCTCTCTAAGAAAGGGACCTATAACCTATACAAATTAACTAAATTAAGAAAATTCGAAAATTATCATTTAGTTTCGATCAAATTTGGCTTTTTTCCTCCTCATGCATTAGTTATTATATACATATACATATATCGATCTTATTTGAAATTGTCTAAATAGAAAGTTCGTGTGACAAGTGACTTACTGATTAGCAAATAAATATTAATTTTATTATAAAAATTTTATTCTACAAAATATGTTTTAAAACGACTGAAAAATGTTTCCGTTAAATATATACGCTTCTTTAAAATTGATTTTTAAATATGTAATTTTATTTTCAATTATCGATTGCTTAAAAATAATTATACTATTTTTTGTTGAGCGAAAATCTACAAAATAATAGAAGATGCTTCAATTTGCTTCTCTCTCTCTCTCTCTCTCTCTCTCTCTCTCTCTCTCTCTCTTTCTCTCTTTCTCTCTTCTGTGTTAGTAACATTACACTATAAATTAAATCGACTTACAAGCTGCTGTCGAAAACTTTCGAGTGGCAAGGGTTTGACAATGATTGA